GTGGAGACTTGAGTTACAGAAGGAGTCAGAGGTGTCCTACATCACATGCTCTGTGCTGGAGGTTTTATTGTGCTCTTTAGCACTGCCCAGCATCTACGTTGCATATTTCCAGGAGATGTCACCTGAGTTGCTTGGCTCATAACAAAACACTGCACCCTGTCAGTGCTGAGGGCACCTCCCTGCTCCTCTCACCTCCACAGGGACAGACCTTGGCACCTTCCTTCCAATGCCCAAGTCCGTTTGTTACATAAGAAATATTGCTGGCTGTCTCTGCACGACCTGAGGGCTGCCTCCCACCTGAAATTCCAAATGGCAGGTGCCATTGCAGGGAGCATCCTGTCTGCTGTGTTCTCCAGCAGCTCAGGAGAAGCAGAGCCCTGTGGTGTTCCCCAGGGGCAGGCCATGGTGGGTGCTGTGCTGTGAGCATGGGCAAAAGCCAGAGAGAGGGATATTTTCAGGCTGGATTTTGAGCTTAAGCTGTGTTTTGATTTGAATTTTTACCCCCAATGATCTGTTCTTTAAAAAAAATTACATCTTTCTTTGGCTTGCTTATCAAGTAATTTGACAATATATGAAAGCTTGCAGATTCCTGTAACATTCATAGTTCAAATTCTAACATCCCTTGTCTTGTATGTTTGAAGCACCTGCTTGTACTGCTTTTCTTCCAAGATACTGAACTTCTCTATGCTGAAAGAATTCTCCATATTCTGGGGAGCAGAAGGGTTTTGGGTCTGTGCCCTGCTTTGCTTGATGCCTCAGCAGCCTCTGTGCTTCAGTGTCTTCAGTCTCCTAAGAAAGTCTGATACAATCAATTAAAAGACAATTTCCATTTACCTGTATCCTGTTGGTTGTTTGCAGGACAGGGAGGTTGTGTAGGGAGGCCTTGAGTTGGTGAACTGATTTGGAAGAGTTTATCTTAATTTTGAACACTGAATAACTTTAATTAATTAATGGCTAAATACATTGGTTTAACATAACAAAAGGCTGTCTAGAGAAAACAGGGAAGGGAAAGAAGGGCTCAAGATGAGGCACCTCTTTGCTATCACTTAAGAGTTGTTAAGGGATGTCACCAGAGCTATTAGCAGAGGAGGTTTTAACTTGACTATTGTAATTTAGCTCCTGAGGCTTGAAATGAAGCAGCAGAGCAGAAGGATTGATCTGGAAAGGAAGACTTTGGTGTTGTGTGGGAAAAGCACTTGACACCCAAGAGTTACGGGATGCCCTTGGAGAGGAAGGAGAGGGATACCCAGAGTTAGAGTGGATTTGGTTGATAATGTGGAGCTACAACCTGTACTTGCTTCCTACTCCCCTGTCTCTTTCTGGAATCCTGCTCTTAGGGCTAAAATTGAGCATGGTGCTGAGTCCTGGGCTCACCCCATCACTGGGGTGACTTGTGACTGCAGGCTTTTCCTGGGAGCTGCATCCTGTCAGACCTGCTCTGTGAGTGTGGCAGGGCTACAAACTGCTGTGGTCCAGGACTGCTCTAAAAATGGAAAAATTGCTTAATTTTGGGAAGGCAAGGAGGGCCTGACACCTGGAGGGCCCTGTGAAGAAAGAGCTGCATGGTCACCCCTGTAATTAGGAGAGCTCAATCATGTCAACTACACTGGCTGGATTTGCAGAGTTGTTTGGTTTATAATAGTAATTTATCTCATATGGCAGAGAGCAGAGGGTGGTAAGCAGTGTGGTGTAAGTCACACTGAGGAGTGAAATCAAGCAGGCAGGGCTGTGTGAGCAGAAGCCTTTGGATGATATCTGGACCCTCTGAGGGCTGACCCTTGTGTCTGTCCCTGCAGTGTCTGCAGCTGGGGCTATGCTTCGCAGCTGGGCAAAGACCTAAAAAAACCCCAAATGTGTATTTTAAAATAGATTAATTTCAGGGCCTTGAGTGTGTTTGCCCTAAGGCATGTCTGTCATTAGGGTCACATGTGGTTGTGGGCTGCACTGATGCTGTGCCTGTGGCAGAAGGGTGAGTGCAGGATGTGCTGCTTGGGTTCAGCTGCCTCCACATCACCAGACTGCAGAGTTCACCTCTGCAAGTGACATTTTCCCCGGAGAGCTGCTCTGCAACTCATCTTGGGGGTTTTTTGGGGCCAGGGAGGAGGAGGAGCAGTGTCTCTTGTGGGGAGGAGTAGGACAGAGCCAGTGGTTGTGTAGGGTGTGAGCTGGGGGTGCCTCTGGCACAGAGCACTGCCACCACTGCTGCTCTGTCCCTTGGGGGTTTTTTGGGGCCAGGGAGGAGGAGGAGCAGTGTCTCTTGTGGGGAGGAGTAGGACAGAGCCAGTGGTTGTGCAGGGTGTGAGCTGGGGTGCCTCTGGCAGAGCACTGCCACCACTGCTGCTCTGTCTCTATCTCCTGGGGTTGTCTGTGTCAAAGAACGTGAACTCAAGGCAGATTTGCTTTGTCATCCTGACTTTGGCTTTTGCCACTGTGAATTTCTCTTCAGTTTCTGGAAGCTTCTTTTTAGTTCTCTACTGGGAAGTCCAAGAGGCATTGAAACACATAGAAGGGCTCACCCCGAACATCCCCCATCACACAGCTCATTCTGTGGGAATGGGGAGGTGGGTTTGGGAGTATTTGGTCACAAACAGGGCAAATCTGTTTCCAGCATGCGTTGCTCTTCAGTTAGTTTTTAACTCGATGCTGCAGAGGAGTGTTGTTGTTTCCCAATGGCAAAGTGCACTGAAATATGACCCCGGGATGGGAGTGCTGGCCCCAGGCCTATGTGCACAAATAGCCCACTACCTTCTGAGGCCTGTTTGCAGCCCAGCAAACAAACACAGCCAGGCTGCCTTGCAAAGAGTTGCAGTAGAAATCTGCCCCTCAGAGCTTTTATTTTTTCCTCTCAGCGTCAATAAAATGTCAGTACCACCAATTCCAGAACGATCTCTCACAAGGTGTTGTGTTCCATCTGAAAATGTAATTATGTAGTAGTGGATTAGGAATAGAAAGAGCTGCATTGCTGTCTTTTGTGTCTCCTACAATACCTTTTGCCTTGGATTGCTGTACCACAGGAAGAAATCGTGGTGCAAACTAAGCTCCAGCTGATGGTGTTAGCTGGGTGAGCGAGCAGGAGTCTCTTGGCGCAGCCCTGGTGTGAGTTATGTAAATCTTGTGCAGTGTATAAGCAACAGGCGGTTGGTGACGTAAAACTGAGCATTTGTCTCTGTTTACTGGCTAATGTGACATGGCCCCTTCCTGCAGCATTTGACTGAGCTGGCGGGATTAAATAGAGCCCTGACACTCCTAAGTAGAAAACGCCTCAGGCTGAATAATGGTTTCTGCTCTGGAATTCAGAGTTCTGACCCGGTGGCTCCTGTGATGGACCAAAGTCCGCTCGGCACGGATGGCAAAGGTCTGGCTGTGACACTGGGCTTGCTGATCGATCCCCGTGGCCATGTTGTGCAGGACATTCCTCCAGTGCCTCCTTAGCAGAATGTCAGGAACTCCTGTGACTCACACAGCGATTATCTGTGGTGCTGTGATGGATGGATTGATTACAAAACGATGGGGCTCTTTGGGTCCTCTCCCAGTGCCCCCAGTGCAGCTCTGCCCCTCGCTGTTGCCCCCCAGTCAGCTGCTGCTCTTTGGGTCCCCTGAGTTTTCTGTGAGGAGAAGGTGACACTGCTCCCATGCAGTTCAGATTTTATCCAGAATGTCTGATTTAAATGTTTTTTTGCCATGAACACTGTAGGAATTGAACAGGAGGCAGTTTCTTTACTCACTGTTTCAAGCCTCTTTCCAGCTGGCAAGCAGCCCCACAAAGCCCTGTGTTTGCTCTTGCTCAGGGTCACGCTGCAAATGTTTCTCTTGCTTTCACCTTGGCTGTCTGACTCGGACACATGACACCCCACCACTCTCCAGCCCCTCAATATGTCACTGTGCCCACACAGAGCAGCTCCTGCAGGGCTTTGGTTTTAGGTGGTGGTTCCCAGTTCCTGAAATCTTGTTTTTTTTCTATCCTGCTCAAAAAAGCAACACAGATTTCTGCAGTCATGAATAAAAAAAGCAGTTGTTATGCCCATTGCATTTGGGGAGATTTTACTCATCTCCATTCTCACAGCACCCACTCACAACATGTAAATCAAGGCCATAACCTCTCAGACATGTATAAACAGAGGAATTACATGACTTGCCAAACACTTACATAATGACTTAATAGTATATCGTGGAACTGAGCTAAGGCTCATGAATCCTCTTCCTGCCTGACTGTTCTTCTTCTCACATTAATTATCATGAGTTGTAGCTACACCGTGGCTCAGGAATCAATAGCATTGTGGTTTTCTGAATGTCCTTAATATATCACACACTTCCACTGTCATTTATCTTTATTCAGTGAGAACTTTTGACTCAGGTGGTTTGTAAGTTCCTGCAAGTTGTGACTACCCAGAGCTGAACAGGCACTTTATTGATGAATAAACAGTTTGTACCTGATGCTGTATTTCAAAAACTCCAGCGAGGCTGGAGTTATTATCTGTAGCCACTGGTGCCCTTTGACCCTGAGAGTTATCAGAGGAGTGTTCTTCACGTTTTGTTCCTCTTGTGCTCCTTTTGAACCTTGTGTGCCAAAATAAAATGGAGAGGTTTGGTTGGTCCTTTTGAAATTAGCTGAGGTACCAAGGCTGGTGTGAAGAAACTGCCCAGTGTTTGTGACATAGATCTTCTCTTGGTGTCTCCTGAACTGTTCAGCAAATTTCATAAAGAACTGTTGGAATACAGGCCTCCAAAACTTGTAAGTTCTAAAGTTTCCAGTGAAAATAGAAGCAGAGTAGAAAAGTGACCTAAGCTAGTGTCCCTGGCAAGAAAAAGTGCTGTATTTTGAGCTCTTTTGTTATCTTGGAGAATCCATATGTGATAGAGATAAAAGCTTTTAAAAAACACCTGAGCAGCAGAGTTATTACAGTGGATATTTTTGCTGACCTGTTTAGGATGACATATGACCTGTGCAAAGGTCTGACCCACCTGTACTTCAGATTGTAATGTGCTTTTTTCCTTTTCAGGAATCTACAAGCTGCCATTGGAGCCTACTATGATTTTGAGAGTCCAAATATCAATGTCCCCTCCATGTCGTTTGTGGAAGATGTCACCATAGGTGAAGGAGAGTCCATCCCTCCTGATACCCAGTTTACAAAAACGTGGAGGATACAGAATACAGGTGAGGCCTTTGGGCTGCAGCAAACCCACACAGCAGTGCTGGGATGCAGTGGGAGGGATGCTGGCTTGAGGCAGGAATCTCCTGTGCACTCACCTGGGCTGGAGCCACCCTGAGGTGCTGCCAGCCCGTGCAAGTTCCTCTTCTTGGGTTGGCACAAACATTTTGTGGTGGGATCAGCAGCTTGGTGAGGTCACCAGTCTTGTTCCTTGTGCCACCACACAAACAAACTCTAGGAAATTGTAGACAAACAAGGCAGTGACACAAGGGTCATGTGGCAGGTCCACTTCGGGCAGAATTGCCTTTTCATGTTCTGAGAGGATGCAGGGCTGGAGAGACCACATTCCAGTTTGAAATAAGTCAAAGCAGTGCCTGGGATCCAGGAAGTGAGGCTGGGCAAAGTGCATTCCCAGTGCTTAATCTGGTGGGATGCAGTCAGGGAGGAAAATGAGATCCATGGATGTGAAGGAATCCCTTGTCCTCAAGCAGTGCAGTGATGGGATGTTGCATGAACATTTAAAACTGTGTGTCTGAATTTAATTGACCTGCTTGTACTTGTGTGGGGCAGAACAATCTCACGCCAAGGTGTGATGCTGGGAGTCATCATGAGTCAGGTTCAGCTCTCAGTATTTCTGCTTGGGAATAGCTGCAGTACTTGGACAGAACATCCACACTAAAACCACACTAAAATCTAAGAAGTATTTCATTAGTGTGTTTAAGAACACTGATTTATAGAGAATGTGTTCTACAGGAAGGATTTAATATTTCAGTGTACTTTTTCTGCCTCCCTCTGTTTGAAAGTACAATGGAAGGATATATCAGGGAACTTGCTTGAGCTCCAATACTGTGAAAAGTCGACTGGCAATTTTTTGATAACTGTCCCAAATACAGCTCTTACAAATCTAGTAAGTGTGATAGGTCTTGTTTCTCCACTCTTAGTATCTCAATTTATGTGTGTTATGACTACACCTCTATCTTGGGCTGACTCCTCCCTTCCTTGTTCCTGTGATGTGCCATTTCCTGGATGCAAATTCAGCCTTAATTTAGCATCCTTGTTCTGGGGAACAAGGATTCATTGTTCTTGAAATGTTTCACCTTCTGAAATTCTGGGCCTTCTAAAATGAGGGACAAGAGCTCATCTTGATTTAGGATTTCCTGGCGAGGCCGACATGTTTTGGTCTCTGTGTGGTTTGAATCTGGCTTGTCAGACCATCCATCTGTGCCCTAGCAGTGGTGCTGGAGGCCAGGGCTTGGTACAGCCACTGAGGGTTAGTGGAGTGCAGCTTCACATGCTGGTTATGACTGTGCAGTGTGAGGAGGACTGCAGCACCTGAAAACCCTTCTTTGGTTTAATTAAGGTATAGTATCAAAGGGCTGTAGTGTTTCCAGATAATATCTACCTGTTAGGCAGATAACTGAAGCAGAGCCAAGGATTTTAACAGCTCTACAGGAGTCCTTGATTACATGACTTCAGTTCTAGAACACAAAATACCTGAGGCGTGTGTCACTGGAGCGTTGCAGGTCTGATGAGTGTGACAGGCAGAGCTCAGAGACTGTCAGTTTGAGGCGTGTGAGCTGTGAGCTCAGTTCAGTCAGGTTCTCATCTGTGTCAGTAAAAAACACAGTAAAAAACCCTGCTCTGGTACCTGCAGGACGGTGCTGCCTTGTCTGCCAAAGGAGCAGTTCATGTAGTTGAACATTGCTGGAAGAGCAGCAGGATTTAACAGCCTGGCTTCCTCTCCCCTCTCTGCCCCCAGCTGCTGCTGGCTCTGCAGGACACTCTCTGCAATTTATCATCTCCTGAGAGATGAGTGTACTGAAATAGAATGACATAATCATAATTTCATTTTATGAGGCTTATCAGTTGCAGCGTCCTAGGCACCTTGCAAGCCTAAAGCCATTAAACCTGATAAAAATCACATAAATAATTTAAACTAAACCATGTTGCTGGGCTGCCAACCTCTGCAGATGAGGCTTCATGCTCAAGTGCCCCATGCCCCAGGCTGAGGTCAGCCAGACACCCAGCTCCTCTTTCAGAGCCCTGCTCTCTCAGCACCTTTCCAGCTGTACTGGTACATCCCCCACACTGAACATCCCGCTGCACTCTGCACATCCTGCTCTCCCTGCAAGCTTGTGAATTCCAAAATAAGGACTTGACAAGAAAACCAGTCCTTGCTCTTCACTGGAGTATCCACAGGGATTAAATTAGCAGGCAGGCTGTTGCAAAGGATGCTCCTTGAGGTGACGTGAGGTCAGAGCAGCCTCCAGCGCGCTCGCCTCAGACCAGACGGAGCAGTTCCAGCCTTCGTGGTGGTTCAGGCTTTCCGTAGCCATTTCCGTCAGCCTCAGCTGAGCAGGAGGTGTTCTCAGTCCTTGGCTTAGTCATGTGATGTGACTGGGGAAGAAGCAAAAGAAAATTGTGCTAAACTGATTTTTCATGAGTCTCAGTAGAGAGGCTTTTTCTTTCTGTCTGCCCCAGCATTTGTTATCTTTGGCAGCGGTGCCTGCACGCAGGAGCTGTTTTCTGTCTCTCTGATTGCCAGGTCACGCTGTCAGTCCCAGTGTCTGCAGTCTAAACATGGATCTCCACAGATAAATTGTGTGTTCACAACCCTTCTTGCCACCTTTGCACAAGCCTGAGAAAAGGCTTGGTGCAAGGAGAGAAATAAATCCATTTAGGAAATAGTGCTGGCACTTCAGTTACAGCTCAAACTATGAGTTCCTCTTGAGACTCCTAACAGGCTTAGAAATAAATGAATCCCTGAAAGGACATGCTGCCAACACTTTGTGTAAATAACAGGTATGTGATGTGGCATGGTTCAGGAGCTTCATGGAGGGAGGCAGAAATGGGGGCACACAACACAGCCCTGCCCTTGTCTCTGCCTCTTGCCCTGGGGAAGGGGAGATGTGTATAGGATAAGTTGTTGGGGTTTTTTTTAAGCTGCTACACTGTGACTTTGAGAATTTTTTTGTGTAACAAAGACATAGAGATTACTCAAATATGAATTGAGTAAATGCACCAGTTAAGCCTGCTCTGAAAACCAGGCTTCCTCAGCATCCACTGCTGCTGTGTCCTGTGTATCTTGGTTTCCTTTGACCATCCAACAATTGCACAACTGTTTTAACAAGCGTGTTTCAACCAGCCTTACACAAACAGACAAAGCTTCTCCCGGTGCGCTGTCAGTAATTCCCTGTCCTGTCTAATCCAGGCACGGAGGCGTGGCCCCCAGGGGTTTGCCTGAAGTATGTCGGTGGAGACCAGTTTGGCCACGTGAACATGGTGATGGTGAGGTCCCTGGAGCCGCAGGAGATGGCTGATGTCAGCGTGCAGATGTGCAGCCCCAGCACCGCCGGAATGTATCAGGGACAGTGGCGGATGTGCACTGCCACGGGGCTCTACTACGGAGGTGAGCAGCCCTTCCCAGCCCACAGCAGGGACACTGCAGGCACACAATGGAGCACAGGGCAGAGATCTGCCAGCCCTGGGCTCAAATACAGAGAAAACATCAAGGGAGCTGCTTTGTTGTCTTGGTCAGTGTTTTCTAAGCACTGGAACAAATTACAGATTACATAAAACTCTGGAAAACAAAGGGATGTGCACAGCTCTCGTTGAGACTCTTTCCTGGTTGGTCCTTGTCAAGATTCTTTCCCAGTTTTCCATTGCTTAACATTTTGAACTACATATGAGCATAAAACAGTGGTGAAAACCTCATGTGAGAAGTTAATACCCAGGGTTTAATGCAGTGATTTAGTGCATCCCCTTGAGCTATTTCTCTGTTTGAAGAACACATTTGGCTATTTTGCCTAGTGCTTCAGCTTGGGCCTCAAACATCTGCCTTCAGTGCAGCCTTCCTTCCCTTTTCTGCCAGCTTTAGTATACACTAAGAACATCTTTGTGTCTCTGTTGGCAGCTGGGAGTATCCCAAGTTTCAGGGCTTGAGTGAGAGGTGTTGGCACATGGAGGCAAAAATACCAGTGCCCAGAAGGAGGGGGCTGGCAGCGCTGGCACTGCCATGCAGCTCCTCGTTGTCTGGAGGGGATGGGCAGGGATATCCCCATGCAGGTGGGACAGCCTGTCCAGTTTGTGTTGCTGGTCCCATATGCTCACAAAGCCCAGGGTTTCCAGAGGGTTCCCAGCCCTGGACAATGGGAGATGTCCCTGCATTGCCAGAAATTGTAATTTTTGCCAGAAAACGACCTGAAGATCGAACCCCTTTGGCCACCAAGCTGTGAGTGGGGCTCGGTGGTGGCAGCCCGGGCTGCAAGGCCGTGAGAGAGCGGCAGAGGGCGCTGCGGGGCCGCTCCAGAGCCTCTGGGGGGGCGGGTATGGGGCTGGGGGAGGGGTCATGGTGCCTGTGTGTACAGGGGGATCACTGGTGAGGGTGTACACAGGGGTCATGGTGCCTGTGTGTACAGGGGGATCACTGGTGAGGGTGTACACGGGGGTCAGTGGTGCCTGTGTGTGCATGGGGGTCAGTGGTGCCTGTGTGTACAGGGGGGTCACTGGTGAGGGTATACAGGGGGGTCAGTGGTGCCTGTGTGTACAGTTTTCAGTGAGGGGAGTTGTGCACAGGGAGAATTAGTGGTGTGTGCTCAGGGTCCTGGCCCTAGTAGGTTGTGTGGTTCCTTAAGCAAGTGATGTGCCCCTCAGGTAGAATCCCACTGTCCTCAGTTGGCTCCTAAAATTCAAACTGCTGATCTCAGGCCTGTTAAACTGGGGGCACTGGAACCAGTACTGCTGAGGCTTTGTGAAAATGTGCTTTAAGCAATAAGTCTGTTTCTTGCTAGTGTAAAGGATGGAATTCATTTGCTCCTTCTGACCCTTTATAAACTCCCATCTAGTGACAACCCAAACGTGTATCTTTCCACAGATGTCATCTGGGTGATCCTCAGCGTGGAAGTTGGAGGACTTCTGGGTGTCACACAGCAGCTGTCATCCTTTGAAACAGAGTTCAACACGCAGCCGCATCGCAAGGTAGAAGGAAACTTTAACCCATTCGCCTCTCCACAGAAGAACAGGCAACCAGATGAAAACAACCTAAAAGACCCTGGGGGTTCCGAGCTAGGCACAATCAGCAAAAACACATGGGGGCCTGCTCCTGACCAAATCGAACAAGATCAGAATGGACTGTCACAAAACTCTGTAAATCTCTCCCCCAGCAGTCACTCGAACAACTTGTCGGTAGTGACGTACAGTAAGGTAGGTGCCCTGGGCGAGCAGGAGAACGGGTAGGGGAGGAGCCTGGCAGGTGTGTAATTGCTCTTCCTTCCAAACTGCAAAGCCCTTTCCTTCTGCTTCTGCCAGACCTGCTAAGGAAGGTTCTCAATTTGACTGTCTGACTCTGCCAACTCCTCATGTTATATTAAAATATTTTTTGCCTCTGATAGACTCTACCAGATCCACCTTTTTGTTTTTGCTTCAAGTCCTTCTTTAAATTTATATAACCTTGTTTGGGTGCTGTAACCTCAAGTGGCTGGAGCCTGCTCCAGTTGCGTGTGCAAATAAGTCAAAATATCTCTCTAGATGTGTCCTGAGCTTGACATAATTTTGAACAGAGAATGAATAACCACACCCTCCAACTTCAGATTAGCCAGATAACTTCTTTTTAGCTGGTGTGGGGAGACTACAGAGCACACCATTTGATTGCAGAAGCTGCCTGCAGGAACAGTCAATCAGGACTGTTCCTGTCTGTGTCCTTGTCTTGTTCATAATTGTAGGTGACTTTTAAATTATCTTTACTTTAAATCTCTCTCAAAAGCTTGCTTGGTGGATGCTATATGAGTCTGAGTGATATTTTGACTGTTTTTATTTGCTTGTGTGTGAAAAATGAATTGCAGGATTATTTACAATTCAGAATCCACCTGTTAATGCAGCAGTATGTGTAGGTGTGTACTGTCGTATGTCAAACTAGTTTTGATTTTTTAAATCCTTTAAAAATGCTTTACTGTACTTTGAGCAGGCTGTGTAGGACAATAACACTTGGTTGCTGAATGACTTAATAAAGCCCTAATGTTAGTTCACCTACAGCACTTTAGTTCCTCCCTGGATGACCTGCCTGTCCTGTGCCAGTGGATCTTGTTTTAGTGACCTTTACCCAGGGCTGTGCATTTTTTATGGCTGGCATGTGTGGGGTGAGCCTGACTGCCCCCCCTTAGTGTCCCAAACACCATCTCTGGGCTGGGCCTGCTGCCAGGCCCTGCTCATAACAGTGGAGTGGATGGCTTGGGAAGAGTGACCTGTCAGTGAATCACCACCTGGAGTGGCAGTGCTCAGAGCTGCTGCTGTGCTGGGCTCGTGGTGCTCCCCGAGGGGCTGGGCTGGGGCTGCCTGCAGAGAGTGTGGGCTGAGGAACCAGAGCCCCTGGCAAGAGAAGCCAGCAGGAGAGTGAAGCACCACCTGAGAGGTGTCACAAGGTTGAAGTGAGCTGGTTTAGCTGCTAACCCAGAGCTCCGTGCTCTGAGGAAACAGGGGCAGTTATAATCTAACCCCAAAAGCAGGGCAGGTGACCTTTCCTCCCCTTTTTCCTTGTTTTGGGTTGTTTTGTTTTGGGGTTTGTTGTTTGTTTCTTTTTTGTATTTACAGAATATTCTTGGGTGGATTTGAGGTGGATTGTCTGAGATTAAAGCAGACATTTTGTTTGCTGGCTTCAGAAGGGACAACTTTGTAGTCCTATTTTTGCTTGGGGGTGGGGGATATGGAAAAGCTACTTGACTTTTGGGTGGTTTTTCTCTCTACTGCAGTTCTTTTTGTTTGTGACATACTAAGAAAAATTATTTTATCCTTTGGAGGCTGTTCTGGTAGGCCTGAAGATCTGAGTCCTGTTCCAGCCTTGCCCATCCTGCTCAGGGCAGGAAGTTTTCTGCCACAGACCCAATATTCATATTGGTACAATACTGGTTCTGTAGTAAACAAGTTTGAGGGAGTTGTACATCCCAGACACCTGGTCTGGTTTGAAATGGTCAGGTGAACATTTCTCCCATTCCCTGACCAGGCCTCTGGGAAAAGGAGATGCAGTTTTATTTGGTTTTTTTCCCTTTGTGTGCATGGTGTACCCAGGTGGAGATGCTGCTGGAGCAGAAACGGGGTTATTAGAGGTGATGTCAGGAGTATTGAATTACCTGAGGAACAGATGGAGCTCCAGTTCCTGTTGGGAAAAGCTCTACCTGGCCCATCTTCTCCAATCCCCAGGGGATCTGACCTGTACTCTGCTGCTGCAGAGGAGAAGGAAAACTACTGCACTGGGAGTTGCTGCCCTGTGATTGAATATTGATGTGAAAGGCTTTATTTCAGGTTCTAGAGCAGGCAGAAGAGCACTGTGGGTTGTTAGGCAGTGGCACAGACTCCAAGAATTCCTGGATTTTGTTTATCTTGGGCAGGATCTCTGATATTTTTGTCTCCTTTCATGTACCTGGGAGAGGGAGGGAATCCCCAGTCGTGTTTGACAGGCCATTTGGTGAGCACAGGAGATGATTCAGGTTTAGTTAAAGTGTTGAGAAGAGCCTGTCCCCTGTATTTAGAAGTAAAATAAACCCTTAAATATTTCTCAGCTGACTGTGGAGGCTTCCTCTGCTGACAGACACTGGGGACAGCCAGTCATGCAGTGCATGAGACCATGAAATCTTTGAGATAAAATGAGCAGTTTGTGGCATCTGCAGGTGTAAAACATACTCAAAGCTGCCAGACCTTGTCGGAATTAGTTCTCCCTCTGGTGCACGGAGCAGGTGTGACTTGTCCTCTAGAGCTCCCCATTGGAGTCAGGATTGTGGCAGCACCAACGTGCCATCTGCTGCTGGGTTAGACAAGTGCAGCAGCAGGGCACACCTGGAAACATTCAAAATGCTTTTATACAGCAGCAGAGCGTGTGGTTTGGGTGTCCTAGGGGGAAAAAAAACAAATCCAGACACAGAATTCCCTGTAAGAGGGTAAGGTGAAACCTGTGGCATGGTTGGAACAAGCTGTGTGCCCTTTATTCCTGCCATGGCACCCACCTCCCTGGGGCCCCCTGCCCACCTTCCACACACTGTGGGGAGGCTGCAGGCCAGGCCTGCTTTGCTTGAAGCATGTTGTTGTTAAATCTGTTCCCACTGGAGCTTTTGCATGTTCTTAGATGTAAAGATGTGCCTAAGTGCAGGGTAGGATGCCCAGAAATCCCCATGCACAGATACTTCATTCTCTGGCAGTCGCTTTCTCTGGATTCTCCAGAGATCTGAGGTTGTTACAGCTTTCTCCTGTTTACTCCTGTCTCATAGCAACCCTGCACGGTCACTGCTGCTCTCTTGTGACTGGCTTTTCCATTAAAAGCCCAAGATCCAGTCTTACAGTGCCTGGGAATTAGAGTTTAATTGCTTAACTGAGGAAAGAAATGTACACGTTTCCATGTTTGAGAAGATCAGAAATGAATAGCCATATCCTGACACTTAGATTGTACTTAACATCTCTATACAAAATCCACAGATCTGTATCTAAACCTGCTGCCCAGATGAACTGAGGAATCACTTCTCTCTATGTCATGCAGAAAAAACTGCACCTGGAGGTTGTGATTCTGCAAAGATTTGCCCAGAGAGGACACTGAGCATCATCCCCACCACAGCAAATGGTGCCTGGCTGTCCTGGTCATTGCTTGTGCTGCTCTTCAATGCCCAGTGAAATAGAAACATATTTGGAGTTCACAGCTTTAAAATCTGAACTCCTTTTTTCCTGCTGCGTTTGTGCTCCCCACCTCCCTTGGTTCTGTGTGGAGCTGAGCTACTTGGCAGCTTTCTGTACATAAGGGGAAACCAACCCTGTGTCCTTGGAGCCTTTAACTGGCTTCCCCTCTCTGAGCTTAAATGTTGTTGCTGCTTCTAAAGCCATGCTTCTCCCAAACCAGGGCCTCCAATTTGCAGATTTTTGGAGTGCCTCTGTAAACTATAGACAGAAATACTTTTACTGGAAATGGGGCATCAAACTGTCTTTATGCATGAGGATGATGCCCCAAAAGTGTTTGCATCCATGGAGGAGGAGAAGCTCCTTCCATCCTGGTGTCTGGGCTTCACACTGGGCTGGTCACTGTGTGGTTACATCCCTTTAGACACAGTGGGAGAAGGTTGGACTTGGAGCTCCCACAGCACTGCAGCCTGGGCTGGGCTGCCATGAGCTGCTGTGCCTCTCTAATGAGAGATTGGTGGTTTGGGTGCTGCACGGCAGCTCATCCATGAAATCCATGTCCTTCCAGACTGTGGGAAGTGCCAGATAATCTGGTTTTAGCCTAACTTGGCTCCATTGCAGCCCAGCAGAGTTGCCTGTTGTTTATCCTGGCCCAGCAGCACATCAGGGAGCTGTGCATGGGAGCTCAGGGACCTGAGCCCTGCCACCCCCTCACCCACGGGCACCTGAGCCAGCCCTGCCAGTGCCTGCTCCCAGAAGGTCCTGAACTTCCTGGTGGTCTCCCAGCCACACCATGTTTGCACAGCATGCATGGAATAAAACACAAGTGCTGGATGCTTTGTTCTCTGTTTGTGCTCAGTTTGCGTAAGCGAGGCTGGGGCAGGAGCAGCCTGAGGGGATGGGGACCAGCAGCGTGGGCTGGGGCCACTGTCAGTGTCCACTGGGAGACTCCTGTATTGCTGTGCATCCACCTCCTGTCCCTGGAAGTGTACCTGCATTGCTGGTGACTCAGTCACAGAGGTGAAATAAAGAGATGTCTGAAAGCCTGTGTGTGATGGTTTATGAAAGATTCACTTAATCCTCGCTTTGTTCCCAGCACAGGTACCTCGGTTTGCAGATCCCAGTGTTCACAAAGGGTTTCAATTTTGCAAAACATCTCTCTTCCCTTCTAGAGGCACGAGTCAAATGATAATTTATACCAGTAGTTGTCATGCAGACTCTTTGCTTGGAAAATCACAGTCCTGTGTTGTCACACACTGGTCTGTGTGAAGAGCCAGTGCTCCCACCAGCAAGTGAGCAGTTACTTCTGGGGAACATTCTGGAAGAACTGAAAGCGAGTTTGCAAAGCTGCAGCTGAGCTTTCCATAAAGACAGTGATTCCACTTGGAGGATAGATGGGAACCAAAATATACTGGGAAAAATCTTTCCTTTGAAACAACTCGGAAAAACTGCAATTGTCTGCAGAATTATTTTTGCATGTTTGTGATGTAAAATGTTGCATAGAGGGGATAATTAGGCTTGAAAGTGTCATAGAGGGGTTTGGTATTTGCATTGCAGCAGTAATTGAAGTTTTCTGGTATCAAACCCTTACATTGTGCATGGTGACAAAATGTCATGGGCCAGGGGAGGTGGAGTCACCTGCACAGGTCTGCACTGAAGCAGCTCACACTCGCCTTAAAGATGCAAGTGGGGTTCAGTTTTGCCAAGTTCTCATGCTCAGTGGTGAATCTTGGGTAGGTGAAATGCAGTGAAGAGTTACAATTCCAAAAGGAATTATTTGGGGGCTCTTCCATGGTGAAATTCCTTGCATCAGGAGGAGCTGACCATGGTCATGGCATTGCCAGGGGAGCTCACTGCAGGGTGCCAGGGGCTGCAGCGCTGGGGCATCTCTTTCTTTTTTCTCTGTCCTTTTCTTGTGGACCTGCTCACACCATCTTGATGTTTCTGTCCTGCTTCTCCCTTTCCCCTTGTTTCAGTGAGTGTGTTTTTGGAAATGTTGGAATTCTCAGTCTGCATTTTGATGGGAGCATCTCCTTCCTCAGGTGGACTGTCATGCTGGAATCTGCTGGCTGTTCTCTTTTGAAAAGCTTTACAAACTGGCACTGCAGCATATTCCTGGGGCAGAAGCGTGTTTGTTTTTCCATCACTTGCATGTATTTCTGTCTGCAAACAGCAATTTCCACGTTCCCAGTCTCTCATACTTCCCACGCAGTTCAGGAGATGTCCTGGTTAATTGTCTGCTGATCCTCCTCTTGGTTGGATTCTGAGAGCTGCTGAGAGCTGCTTCATTTTGCAATTTGCTTGTATTTACCACCTGATTATATCCCCAAGAATGAACTTTTTCTCTCCAGCTGTAGCAAGATTACAGACTGCTCATGGCACTTCCTTCCTAGTCAGATCTGCAGCAGAGCTCTCCAGCCTGGGGTTTGCCAGTGACGTTGATTCTTTACACAGTCTGCAGGGCTCCACAGCCCTGGCTCCTGCAGTGAGGGGGTTTTGAAGTTGTAGAACACAGAGGAAATGGTATTTCCTAGGAAATTTGCCCTGTCAAAGGCAGAGTGGTGAAAATCGAGGTCAGAGAATCTCATTCAGCCAGAACAGGAATGGTTTGGGTTCTCACTGCCTTACCCAGAGTGTGCTGGGAAGAGCTGGGCTGTGTTTAGAAGCATTTGCATAATCACCTTCCAACTCTGCCACGAGATACAGCAAGTTTTTCTCCCTCATCTCTCTCCTGACCTCAGTGTGTGTCTGGGTTTGTGTGGGGGTTCTTCACTGACAAACTTCATCTGCTGTGAGCTGGGGCATCTCTTGCTGCCTGTTGGTCTTTCTTCTGCTTCCTGATGAAACCCCGGAGAACTGATCTGGACAATAGAAGTTACAAAAGGAGTTCCTGTTAATTTGAGACCTGTGACTACATCTGACATTTAGGTGACTCACTTCAGGATGTAAAGGAGGGAAATGGATTCTCTAGGAAGCATTTTGGGGGTTTTGGTAAATGCTCTGGTTGATTTCACTGGAGGCAAATGTGCATTGTCACCTTGAGAAGGTGACACAGTACTTTTGGGAATGTGGAATTTTTCTTCTTGGGTTTTTTCCTGGTGTGGCCTCTTACCCAGTGATAGCCCCACGTCTGTGGGACAGACTGGGGAGGCTGCAGCTGCTGGGCCTGCAGGTGTTGTAGCATCTATAAGGAATTCTGGTATAAAAAACACAAGTTACTTTGTGGCCTTTGCTTAAAAAAACATCTGACAGAGGTAAGTGGTGGCATCTGCCCTGTCTGGGGAAGCCAACCCTGGAATGTGTGGTGTCAGAGTGTCCTTGGAGCCACAGTGGGGTTGGTGGGAAGCCCTGGGCTGGGCTGGGCACTCTTTGGAGCTGAGCACTGAGCATTTTGTTTCTTGCCTGTTGAAAATTGATTATGTCTCCAACTTTCTTTCAGGGTTTCCACGGTCCTTACCACTTCGGACAGTCTTAAAACACAAAAACACAAAACGGGTATCGACAAGAGGAGAATTTGAGAAAAAGCTGACTTTTGGGGGAAGGGAGGGGGATTCATGTGGCAGACAGACACAGCGTGGACCCCCCTTCTCTGCCTCCGTGTTCTGGAAAAGAAGAAAAAACAAAAGCCCAGTAACTTAAGACTAGCTGTTTCCAGAGGAAAATCCAAAACCTGAGTATGCATGTGTGACTGCTGGATTTCAGAGTGGTGTAAATGCTATGAGGAAGAAGAGACACCAACACTATGGGTTTTTAGAAATCATCTTCACATGTAATTAGGTAGCTTAAAAAGAAGTTTAAAAATGAAAATTTAAAAGCCATCTTTAAAAAAGAATATTTTGCCTACAGAGCGGTTGTAGTTTGAGCAAATGTTTAATTTCTGTTTGTTTCTTGTTCTTTTTTTTGGTTTTTTTTTCCTAAGGGACAGCGTGCATTTTCCCAGAATGTCCTGGTTTGCTGCTGAACAGGACTGGCTCAGCACCTGCTGGGGTTTGTGCAGGGACTGCTTCTGTCAGGCTTTTTTATTGCCAGGTTGGGTCTGCACCCAGCACTGTGTTTTTAACAGCATCTGCTGGTTTTAGTTACCGACTTTTTAATCTTTTATTTCCTCTTTTCCTTTTGGTTTGGGTGTTGCTTTTAAGTTGTCCTGCGTGTCGTTGGGAGCCACGTTATGGACAGGTCTCAGTGTCAGAGTTGGAGAGGGAGACACTGAGACTTCTGGGATGACATGGAGGGCTCATCTCCCTTCCCTCTTGTACATGAAGTACACAAATACACACCCATGTTGATAAGAAACTGATTTCTTCAAGTTCCTGAGCTGTCCTGTGTGGTTAGCAGTTAAAAATCCCTTTTTGTTCACTCTCGTGTGCAGTAGCTGTGCCTGGAGCTGTGTGCCAAGAGGAATCTGTAGCTGTGATTCACCTGCTGGTAGTTGCAAAGCTTCACAGACATCCTGTCCTTTTCATTTGGAGTCTCCCCTCTCTTTCAGAGCATAAGTTTGCATTTGTTTCTCCTGTGCTGAGGTGTAGCTGAGGCTGATCCAGGAGTTGACACCACCAGCTGGCTCCCACTGTCGCCTCCTCTTCTTCTGCCTTTGTCATCTGGGCTCGGGGCTGCGCTGAGGCTCCGAGTGGGCTCATGTTGGGGGAGGGATTGCAAAAGATTGGGGCTGCTCTGCTGTTCCTCCAGCATGTTTGTCTCCCATTCTGGACTGTGAAGTGCAGTGTGAGGGGATGCAGCTTGGTCTCAGACACCGTGGTGAATTTATTCTGAAATGCTGACCCTACAGAGGGGAGTGAGCCCTGCAGCACTCGTCCTGCCCAAAGGAACCAGGCTGGAACAGCCATCTGCCAAAGATACAGGAATATGCAAAGCTCCCTTTCCCTTCTTCCAGATCTTTCCAGTGCAGGCTTTTCCCTGTGTCAGAGCTGCACGCTGCATGGCTTTGCCCTTGCTGCTCTTGGCTGCTTTTGTTTTTGTGGCTGGTTTTGAATGGGGAATCTTCAATTGCAGCTACCAAGGACTGGTACCTGGGTGCATATGGATGGACCTCCTGGGGCCAGTGGGAGTTCCTTGTGTCCAGCAGAGGAAGGATTGGGCAGTGGATTTTGTTCATATTTCAGAAGTGTAGTTGTTACAGATCACCATTAGCTGAAATCTCCCTTAGAAATCTGTTAGCTGGGAGAACCAAGTGTAAGATCAGAAACTGCCTGCACAGAAGTGGCACCACAGGATTTGAACTGCCTGACACTGCAGTCTGGATCTGGGAAGTGTTGGGATTGGAGTGAACCTGCTGAAGATGCTGCTTCTTGGAAGCTTCAGTTCTTGGGCTGTAACAACATTTTGCCTTGGATTAGTTCTGAGTATTAGATCTGAGCATTGATGTGGGGGGTGATTGCAGCCCCACGGTGTGGTGTAGGCAGCTGGAATCTTTGCTCACTCCCTCCTTTCCTCACAGGGGCTCACAAGCCCCTCTGAGGAATGAACATCACACCTGCTGCTCCCCTTCTGAGGGCACTGCACCCCTGGAGACAGCTCTTGGTTCAAGTGACGAGGTGATTCCTTATCTTTATTAGCTTCTTGTGTCAGCTGCATAGTGGAAGGGAGGGGAAATCAAGGTCTGAGTGTGAGAGTTAGAGCTGCTGCTGTGACCTTTGCCTGGTGTCAGCAGAGGCACCTGAGACCCTTGCACTTGGATACCCCCACGCTGGCTTTCTGCTCCCAGGCACATGTGCTCCTCCCGTGTCCCCTGGCTGCCACACTCGTGTTCCTGTGCTCCTCCTAAGGCTGAATTTATTTCTCTTTGTCTTGAAAAACCAAAACCTGCATGTGCCCCGGGTAGCCATGTGCTTTCCCACTCCGAAGGCACACGCGTTGGCAGTCTGTGCTGCCCTGGTGACAAGGGGTGCACGTTGCAGGGTGTGAGGATGCAGGGCTCTGAGACCTGCAGCTCTTGCTGCTCACATCCTGCCCTGCCCAGGCAGCTGAGGGTTGTGGCCCCTGCTGTGTCACTGGAAGGATGTTTAAAATGGATTGCTCTCTCTGTGTTTTTTCTCGAGTAAAAACTGTTTCACTGAGGCCAAAGGTGGTTTTGTCTCCTGGTTTCTTGGAGCTTCTTGTTGCAGCTGGCCCTCAGATTGCTCGTGCTTCAGGTGTCCAACTTCTGATGGGGAGATTGAGATGAATTTGGCCAAGTTCTGCCCGGGTGACCTCGTGACACTGCAGTTTGTATCAGCTCCCATAAGGAAAGGGTAATGTAGAACATCTCTGATGGCCTCTAAGTGGGTCTCTGTGGTAAGCAAGAGTCACCAACACAGCTCAAGCAGTGTCACCTCCCAGCCTTGGCAAACTGGAGCAGGATGTCCCTGGGACTGTCCCCGAAGTGGCAGTGCCATGGGAGGGGGTGAGAGAGTGGGAATCTTCTGCCCACACCTCAGGAGTGCTGGATTTGATCCCCGCCGAGGTTTGGGAGCTGGGGCAGAGCCGTGCAGTCGGAGAGCAGTGGTGTGGGTGGAAATGCACGCTGTCCCACGTCTGGGTTTCTGTTGTGTTTCATTTTTTCCGTGTGTGAGTGCGTGGGTGGTTCCCAGCCTGTCTGTGCTCGCCGGGGCAGTGCATGTGTAGCACGGGATGGTGTGTTGCCTCTCTGAGTCTGGGAGAAGTCCTATGATAGCACATTGGGGGTGAAAATAAAGGAAGCTTTTTCCTTAATGTATAAATGAATATTTGTATGATTAAATTAACACAGAAAAAAAAAAAAAAAGCTCTGTAGCTGTTGAGAGTTTTATTGAAGCTGCAAAACTTCTGAGTCTGTCATGTTGTAGTTAAATGTACCTGCTTTGCTCCATTCCCAGAGTATTCCAGACACTCAGGCACAACACCCTTAACCCAGCTCCAGCCCTAATTTAGTCCAAATTGCTGTGAAACCAGGCCCAGTTCCGTGCATGCTGAGGTTATCAACCACCTGTCGAGCCCCTGGGTGGGGGTGAGGGTGGGGAGAGGCTCTGGGGGTGGCTGTGAGGCAGGGGCAGGGAGGGGACTCCAGATTCCCCTGTGCCAAGGTCAGGTCACTTCTCCAGGACAGCTCCTGAGGAGGAGTGGGATGGTCTGGGGGGTCTCCATGCGGGGGGCACCAGCACACAGCCGTGCCACAGCTGCGTCCCCAGGTGCTCCTGGTGTGGCTGTCCCACATCCCAGCCCTGCCCTCGGAGCCTGGAGCAGGACGGGGTGATACTCACACTTCAAACAGCCAGTGCTGAGGGGTCAGACCTGCCATCTCCTGAGTGCCTCGGGAAGGCAGAGCCAGAGTTTGAAGGGAGGAAGATTGGTTTGGGTTTTGTTTTCTCACAATCCCTAAGGAAGTAGCTGACACTGTGTATCGGGACGGGGGCACAGGAAGGTTTCACTCTGCTGGCCACCTGCACCGGTGTCCAAGGTGGATCTGAGTTCCCAGGTGAGGCCTTTCTGCCCAGGACACCCAGCCCAAGCATTACCTGGATGAACTGCACCGTGCAGCAGCTCGGCTGAGGCCGTTCCTTTGCTTACCTGGGAGTTTGTTACTAATCCCCACGAGAAACCTCACTCTGTGTGTGCTGGCTTTGCTTGTATCATTTGAATAAATGCCTGGAGCTTTCATGTGCCGGTTAAGCTTGACTGGAAGCCTGACTGGGAACAGACATCCTGCTCCCTGTGCCTGGGGGTGTTTGTTCGAGCTCGGGGTGCTCACGGGTGTCCCCAGGCTGCTGTGTTTGGGCAGGGGAGCACTGCCCGCCCCGCTCACTGCCCAGCTTTGCATTTACTCCTTATTTGCTTGAAAGAATCTGTTTGTCTTTAGGGTTGCAACCTGTCAGAGGCTGCCAGCGCAGGACAATCCCATCACACCTTTAATGGTATCTCCTGAGCAGGCAAATACCCGGCGGGATTGCCGTGGTGGAGGTCATCCTGCCATCCCAGAGCAGAGCAGGGCGGGCAGGAGGCCAAGGCAAACGGCAGCCACAGGCACCTGCGAGCTGCTTGGCTGCTGCTTTTGCTGCTTGTTTATTTTTATTTTTTTTTAGGGAAACCAGATCGTCGTCCATTAAAAGTTGCAAAATTATTTTTTTTTTTTTTTTTTTAGGGAAACCAGATCGTTGTCCATTAAAAGTTGCAAAATTAATTCTGGTTTTATGCGGTTTTTTTTTGGTTCCCGAAGCAATGGCAGTCGGAGGGAGGGTGTTCTCAGATTTTTGTGGGGGATTACAGGGGTGAGGATGTGCTCAGCACCCAGGACTGCTGGGGCCCATGCCTTGTTGGGTGCTCATGCCCTCAGGCTGGAGGGAAGAGCAGGATCTGCTCCAAAACCTCCCCAGCACCACCACATGTCCTCATATCTTCAGGCACGACCTCGAGGGCTCCAATGGGCACCTGCCCATCCAGGAGCTGCACCTGGAACAGTGGCAGAGAGGATTTTTGTGATTTTTGTTTATTTTTCCTCCTCTACCTGCTCCATCCTGCAGCAGCAGCCCGTGGTGTGCAGCCCTCTGCTGGTGCACCTCTAGATCCCTTGGGAGGCACAGGGAATGTTAATGGGCCAAGGGGGAAATGAGGCCAGGCCAGTCCTGGGATGCTTCCAGGGGTCCACGGGGAAGGAGCAGGACCAGGGGGAACCTGGGATCTTTCTGGAAGCTCTCCACAACCCGCTCCCTCTGCCCTGTGTGTTCGCTGGAAAATTCCTAGTTACACAGGAATTAATTAAGGAAATCTAATCTCAAACATTTCCTACCCCGTTGATAAAACAGCCGAGCGGTAAAAGCTGGCAGCAGAGCCCAGCAGGGAGGCAGATGGCACGCGTGGGCACGGACCAGCCCTGTTTGCCCCATGCAAGGCTGTGGGCACGGCTCTGCAGGGCAGCTGCAACTGGGCTGGCTCCAGAGCTGCCTCTTTGCTCCTTGGATTCCCCTGTTTTGGTTATCTCTTCCCTGCAGGGGTGACGCCTTCGTAGAATCTTAAAGTAGGGGGGAGAGAAGTTTGGTTTTCACCACTTGGCGCTGAGGGTGGGCGGTGCAGAGTCCTGTGAGGGGGTGCCCAGGAGTGGGGGCACCGTGGGAATCACACTCCATGTGTGCCAGGGGAGCAGGGGCTGGGCTGGGGTGAGCTGCACCGGGGGCTCCCAGCCGAGCTGCCCAAACAGGGCTTGCTGGCCACAGGCCCAGCCCGGGGCAGGTGCCAGCAGAGGGAGCTGAGGTTGTTCCTCGTCCACAAAACCCTTTGGAGCTGCTGGAGGTGGCTTTTCCAGGCTTTGAGTCCTGCTGGTGACCGTGGCAAGAGCCATGTCCCCCAGCTCCCAGAGCAGCGGCTGGCTTGGCTGGGCTTGGCTGGGCAGTGGGGGGGCACATGTCACTTGGCCTGTCACCAGCACGGTGGGACTGGGGCAGTGCTGCAGAGCCTGGCAGGAGCTGCTGGGCAGAGACAGCACGGGCAACCCTCTGGGCTGGGAGTGAGGAAGGGGCTGCACACCTGGACACCCGTGCTGTGTCCCATTTTGAAGGGTGACGGGGACAAAAGGGGTCTGGCTGCTCTGCTGCGGCCCCAGGGGCGTGCACAGCTCTGTGGGAGGGAGAGAGGGACCCCCAAACCTTGGGGGTAAAGCCCTTTTTCCAGGCTATTTTCTAGGAAAGCCATCCCACAGGGTGGAACTTGCAGCCTCTCCTGGGTCTCTGCACCTCTGGTGTGGAGCAGCCGGGCTGGGCAGGGTCTGTGCAGCGTTGGCATCCAGGGGGAACACGGCAAGAACTCCCATTCTTATCTAATCTGCAGCATTTTCCCTCCTCGCTGTTGGCTGTGGCCGTGTTTCCTCAATCAGTTGACAGCTGCAGGCTGGGCTGTGACACCAGCGTGTGGCACTGCAGCCCCAGACCCCGGGTGGCATTGGAGGGACCCTGGCATGAGCCCCTTGAACCCCTGAGAGCCCAGCAGGGCCAAGAACCCTCTGGGAGGTGACAGTGAGAGGCACCTGAGGAGTGACACTGCTGCACTGGGCAGCAGAGAGGGTCCCTGTCCCCAGCAAGGCCACAGGGACACCCTGGCTGTGCCTGAGGGACACTCCAGCAGTCACTGTGCTGCTCAAACTGGGGCTGTCCATGGCCAGGATTCTGCACGGAGGGGTTGGGCAATCATGGCCACTGTGCCCTTGGGGGTGTCCCCGCCGAGCCCCCCGAGCCTGGCAGCCCCAAATCCCCTGTGTCTGCTCCACAGGGGGACGGGGAGAGGACAAATTCCCAAATTACACCTTGGGTTTGTCCGGCTTGGGAGGGAGGGGTGAGTGGGGGCTCGCTGCCTCCCCGAGCAGGGAACTCTCCTTTGGGATGAGCCTGGCTGCTCTGCCTTGCCCGTGGGGAGCAGGCTGGCAGGAAGCAGCTGAGGGTGCCTGAGAAGCAGGTTTGTCAGAATTTTAAAGGGATCTAAATCAATAGTGATAAGGAAACAATTATTTAAAGAGCAAACAAATGGAAACTGCTAAATGTACCCTGTTTTTTCCCTTTTTTTTTTTTTTTTTTTTTTTTTCTTGTGGGTGAAGGGTGCAGGGCTGATGCCTTTGGGTGCTGGGAGTGGGTCCCTGCTGGGACCACCCCAGGGTGGGCACTGGGACAGCTCTGCTTGCTCAGCCCAGCCCCAGCCAGGCTGGAAACGAGCCTCACAGGACAAAGTGTTGTTTCATCCCACAAGGAAAAGGGTTTTATGGGTCATCTGGAAACGCTAATCCTCAGGTGAGCCCATTTGTGACGCTGGTGAGCCTGTTGATGGTGTCACAGCAGCTGCTGGGTCAGCAGGGACAGAGACAGGCCTGGGCTGTGGGGGGACACTGCTGTGTGCTGCCTGCACCTCCTGGCTCCATTTTGAGGGGGAAAGGAGCCAGGGCTGGTCACTGAGGCCGGGCAATCCCTGCAGATAAAGGATATTTTCTGCACTCCGAGGAGCTCAGGATCCTGCTGGGGGGGGTTGCAGAGCTGCAGCTGGGACCATCCCTGCCCCATGGAGGGCATTTCCCCTGCCCTGCCTGCTGCAGGGTACCCCAGGACTGGGGAGCCAGTGCAGGAGCCCAGTTCCCCCACGGGGCTGTGGCTGTCACCACCGGGGCTTTGTCTCAAAGGGCAGCTCATTCCCATCCTTCCCCCCCGTGGTGTTTTCATCGGCTTTTGGTTGGGGATTAGGCACCTGTTGACAGAACAAACATTTTGCTGCGCTCAAAATCCACTGCTGAGGAGAGGAGTGATGTCCTTGCTCTGCTGGTGCCTGAGCCAGCGCTGGGATGGGGAGCTGGGATTGGGAGAGCTGGGCTTGGGGCCAGGACAGCCCTTTGAGGGGAACACGGAGCCATTTCGGGTCACGTCCCACACCGGGGCCAGAGCTCTGTCTCTCTGCTCCCTCACAGAGCATTAATCACTTTCTGCTTTCATATCCTGCCCTGTGAAACCAGGGATGCCACGAGGAATGCTGCCCGGGTCCAGCGAGGCTTTGACAGGTGCTGAACCCCCCCTGCCCAGCTCCTGGTGCCCATCACAGCTCCCTCCTCCCCAGACCAGGCTCTGGAGCTGCAGTGATGGTGTCGGGAAGGCTGACAAGGCTGGGGATACCCAGCAGTGTGTGTTTGCCAGGGGAAATTGCCCCAAGCTCTGCGACTGCACAGGGGGGGAAGATAGGACACGGCACCTCGTTTGGGGTGCTGCCCACCTCCCACACCCCGCTTTCCCTACATGACCCCCGTGTCCTGGCTGCTTGCTGGAG